GCTGTGATTCCACTTCAGTATTATCTGAGAGTCTGTCTGGGTCACTCGGCTGGGCTGAAAGACAATCATTATTTGCAGGCATAGAGAAGTCTTGTAACATTTATGCCAATGGCAGGAACCTCTGGAAAAATCCATAAAGGGCCTGTTTCAGTACTCTGCAAGCTGTCAGTCTTTTTCATTACTGCAATATTGAAAATGTTTCCAGTGTTTCAGAGCTGAGGTAAAATGACTACAGTGGTGCCTCGCAAGACGAAATTAATTCGTTCCGCAAGTCTCTTCGTCTTGCGGTTTTTTCGTCTTGCGATGCACGGTTTTCCCATAGGAATGCATTGAAAATCAATTAATGCGTTCCTAGGGAAACCGCCTTCAGACCAGGTCCGGGGACAGACTGTCTCCGGACCTCTTCTGAAGGCTGGGGGGGGGGGGGACAAGGGCTTTTCTTCCCACCCCCAGCATTTTAAAAAACCCTGGGACAGCGGAGGACTTCTCCGCTGTCCGGGCGATCTTAAAATGCTGGCGGGCGGCATTTTAAAATCGCCCCGGGACAGCGGAGGACTTCTCCGCTGTCCGGGGCGATTTAAAAGCCCCTGGGAAGGCAGGCAGGGGGGACAAAGATTTCGCCCCCCGCCCGCCTTCAGAAGGTGTTCCCGCCCCCCCGCCCGGCTTCGCAGCAGCGCTACGAAGCCCGGTGGCTGGGCAGGTGTTCCCGCCCCCCCCACCCCGCTTCGGAGCAGCGTTCCAAAGCGGGGGTGGCTGGGGCAGGTGTTCCCGCCCCCCGCCCGGCTTCGCAGCAGCGCTACGAAGCCCGGCGGCTGGGGCAGGTGTTCCCGCCCCCCCACCCCGCTTCGGAGCAGCGTTCCGAAGCGGGGTGCTGGGGCAGGTGTTCCCGCCCCCGCACGGCTTCGCAGCAGCGCTACGAACCGGCGGCTGGGGCAGGTGTTCCCGCCCCCCCCCCCCCGCTTCGAGCAGCGTTCCCGAAGCGGGGTGGCTGGGGCAGGTGTTCCCGCCCCCCCCACCCCGCTTCGGAGCAGCGTTCCGAAGCGGGTGGCTGGGGCAGGTGTTCCCGCCCCCCCCGCCCCCGCTTCGCAGCAGCGCTACGAAGCCCGGCGGCTGGGGCAGGTGTTCCCGCCCCCCCCGCTTCGGAGCAGCGTTCCGAAGCGGGGTGGCTGGGGCAGGTGTTCCCGCCCCCCCACCCCGCTTCGGAGCAGCGTTCCGAAGCGGGGTGGCTGGGGCAGGTGTTCCCGCCCCCCGCCCGGCTTCGCAGCAGCGCTACGAAGCCCGGCGGCTGGGGCAGGTGTTCCCGCCCCCCCCCCCGCTTCGGAGCAGCGTTCCGAAGCGGGGGTGGGGCAGGTGTTCCCGCCCCCCGCCCGGCTTCGCAGCAGCGCTACGAAGCCGGCGGCTGGGGCAGGTGTTCCCGCCCCCCCACCCCGCTTCGGAGCAGCGTTCCGAAGCGGGGTGGCTGGGGCAGGTGTTCCCGCCCCCCGCCCGGCTTCGCAGCAGCGCTACGAAGCCCGGCGGCTGGGGCAGGTGTTCCCGCCCCCCCACCCCGCTTCGGAGCAGCGTTCCGAAGCGGGGTGGCTGGGGCAGGTGTTCCCGCCCCCCGCCCGGCTTCGCAGCAGCGCTACGAAGCCCGGCGGCTGGGGCAGGTGTTCCCGCCCCCCCCACCCCGCTTCGGAGCAGCGTTCCGAAGCGGGGTGGCTGGGGCAGGTGTTCCCGCCCCCCTGCCCGCTTCGCAGCAGCGCTACGAAGCCCGGCGGCTGGGGCAGGTGTTCCCGCCCCCACCCACCCGCTTCGGAGCAGCGTTCCGAAGCGGGGTGGCTGGGGCAGGTGTTCCCGCCCCCCGCCCGGCTTCGCAGCAGCGCTACGAAGCCCGGCGGCTGGGGCAGGTGTTCCCGCCCCCCCAGCCCCGCTTCGGAGCAGCGTTCCGAAGCGGGGTGGCTGGGGCAGGTGTTCCCGCCCCCTGCCCGGCTTCGCAGCAGCGCTACGAAGCCGGCGGCTGGGGCAGGTGTTCCCGCCCCCCCACCCCGCTTCGGAGCAGCGTTCCGAAGCGGTGGCTGGGGCAGGTGTTCCCGCCCCCCGCCCGGCTTCGCAGCAGCGCTACGAAGCCCGGCGGCTGGGGCAGGTGTTCCCGCCCCCCACCCCGCTTCGGAGCAGCGTTCCGAAGCGGGGTGGCTGGGGCAGGTGTTCCCCCCCCCGCCCGGCTTCGCAGCAGCGCTACGAAGCCCGGCGGCTGGGGCAGGTGTTCCCGCCCCCCCACCCCGCTTCGGAGCAGCGTTCCGAAGCGGGGTGGCTGGGGCAGGTGTTCCCGCCCCCCGCCCGGCTTCGCAGCAGCGCTACGAAGCCCGGCGGCGGCAGGTGTTCCCCCCCCCCACCCCGCTTCGGAGCAGCGTTCCGAAGCGGGGTGGCTGGGGCAGGTGTTCCGCCCCCCGCCCGCCCGCCTTCGCAGCAGCGCTACGAAGCCCGGGCTGGGGGCAGTGTTCCCGCCCCCCCACCCCGCTTCGGAGCAGCGTTCCGAAGCGGGGTGGCTGGGGCAGGTGTTCCCGCCCCCCGCCCGGCTTCGCAGCAGCGCTACGAAGCCCGGCGGCTGGGGCAGGTGTTCCCGCCCCCCCACCCCGCTTCGGAGCAGCGTTCCGAAGCGGGGTGGCTGGGGCAGGTGTTCCCGCCCCCCGCCCGGCTTCGCAGCAGCGCTACGAAGCCCGGCGGCTGGGGCAGGTGTTCCCGCCCCCCCACCCCGCTTCGGAGCAGCGTTCCGAAGCGGGGTGGCTGGGGCAGGTGTTCCCGCCCCCCCCGGCGCGCTCCGGCGGCTGGGGCAGGTGTTCCCGCCCCCCACCCCGCTTCGGAGCACCGGGAGAAGCGATCTCCCCGCAGCCCCTTGCTTCAAAAGAGGTCCGGGGGCAGACCTCTTTTGAAGCAAGGGGCGGTGGGGAGAAGCGATCTCCCCGCCGCCCCTTGCTTCAAAAGAGAAGACCCGCTGTCCCCGGGGCAAGCTTCGTTTTGCGAAGCAAGCCCATAGGGAAATTCGTCTTGCGAGGCAACTCGAAAACGAAAAAACCTTTCGTTTTGCGAGTTTTTTGTCTCGCGAGGCGTTTGTCTTGCGGGGTACCACTGTATGCACGTTCATGTCTGTGCATATTCACACACACACGAGAGGGAGCGTGCAATCGGTGGGGTCAAGGAAGTCCAACCAGAGAAGAACTAACGCCATGTGTTTTTCTGCCTTACAAGCAAGGAGATCTAAACAGAGGGGGAGCCATGTAAGGGAAATTCCCAGGTCCCAAGTTCAAGGAGAGCCCTGGGCTTTTTGAGGCAGAGGTCTCTGGAGAGACACGTCTAATTGCCAATCAATACTTGTCAATTGCTTCATTGTCTCCCGTAGAAGCGGGAGGAATAGGTGTCGACGTTTCCTATTTAGCTCCGCTCAGGATAGACAGCTATTGTTTTGAGATTATAAAATATAAAAAGGAAAAAAAGAAGGGTGGGGGAATACAGCCCCCCAATAGCTTACTAATGACAGCTTCATTCAGCCTCATGATTTGTCTCGAAGGAAGTGAGTTCTTAGACCGGAACGAGGCCTGACGTTTGCTAGCGGTGGTGGCAAGAAAAGACGGGGTGGCAGCCGGGGGGGGGGGTGTGCGTTACGTGGCACTGGAAGGAACGGAAGTCCACAGTGGGATGATACTTGGCTGGCCTAAGCCCCCTCGAGGATGGGGTGGGAGGGAGAGAAAGAACAGGAAGATTTGCCTTTGTAGGGAAAGACTTGAGAGTCAGGCTAGAAGAGTGAATCCTAATTAAATACAGTTATTTATACCAGCAGTTAAGAGCTGGGATCGTAAGAACTCCAGAGAATCAGCATCGAAGAAGACGCTCTTCCCATATGAACTATGAGATATCCTTCTCAAGGCCCTCCTTCCGTGTGCTGTTTTCCTCAAGAGGAACACTGCAACATGAGAGCAGGGCCTTCTCTGCAGTGGCTCCCCGTCTGTGGAATGCTCTCCCCAGGGAAGTTCGCCTGGCGACTTCATTAAACACTTTAGGCGCTAGGCAAAAAACATACCATTGTTAACCAGGCCTTTAGTTGGATCTTATTGAATGTGGTACTTTTTGGGGGGGGGGTTATTGGGCTATTGTTTTTGGTTTGATTTTATACTGTTGTGGTCTTTGTTTTGTGAACTGCCCTGAGACCTCCGGGTTATAGGGTAAAGGTAAAGGGACCCCTGACCATATAGGTCCAGTCGGTGGCTGACTCTGGGGTTGCGGCGCTCATCTCGCTTTACTGGCCGAGGGAGCCGGCGTACAGCTTCCGCGGTCATGTGGCCAGCAGGACTAAGCCGGCTGTCTGGCAAACCAGAGCAGTGCACGGAAACGCCGTTTACCTTCCCGCCGGAGCGGTACCTATTTATTTTATCTACTTGGCACTCTGACGTACTTTCGAACTGCTAGCTTGGCAGGAGCAGGGACCGAGCAACGGGACCTCATTCCGTCGCAGGGATTCAAACCGCCAACCTTCTGATCGGGCAAGTCCTAGGCTCTGTGGTTTAACGCCACAGCGCCACCCGCGTCCCTTATAGGGCGGTGTATAAATTGAATAAATAAATAAAATAAAAGAAATGCGGTGGCCATCTTTTCCTGGTCCCCAAACCACATTTTATTTCCTCTCCGATGTGCGTATCTTGCCCACGTGCAATTAGCTTGTGATGATTTGATTAACTAACAAAGCTGTTAGCCCCCTGCCCCTATTTTATCATCAGTAGAACCCTATGGGGTAGGCTCAGGCTGAAAGGTACCAAGAGGTCCAGCGTTGCCCACTGAGCTTCCTGGCAGACTGAAAGTTTGAGCCCAGCATTGCGGTGGGTTGGACAACACTGGCCCTTCCAACTCTATAATTCCATGATATTCCACTTGAATTGGAGCTGCCCAGAGTGGCTGGGGAAACTCAGCCAGATGGGCGGGGTATAAATTGTTGTTGTTGTTGTTGTTGGTTGGTTGTTGTTGTTGTTGTTGTTATCCTGGAGGGCCTGGGCTCCTATGAAGCTGAATGCTGGAAGGTTCAGAACAGAGAAAAGGACTTATTCATGCAGTACACTGTTAAACTAGGGAACTACCCTTCGTGACAGCAGCCATGAAATTAAAAGATGCCTGCTTCTTGGGAGAAAAGCAATGACAAACCTAGACAGCATCTTAAAAAGCAGAGACATCACCTTGCCAACAAAGGCCCTTATAGTTAAAACTATGGTTTTCCCAGTAGTGATGTATGGAAGTGAGAGCTTGACCATAAAGAAGGCTGATCGCCGAAGAATTGAGGCTTTTGAATTCTGGTGCTGGAGGAGACTCTTGAGAGTCCCATGGACTGCAAGAAGATCAAACCCATCCATTCTGAAGGAAATCAGCCCTGAGTGCTCACTGGAAGGACAGATCCTGAAGCTGAGGCTCCAGTACTTTGGCCACCTCATGAGAAGAGAAGACTCCCTGGAGAAGACACTGATGTTGAGAAAGATGGAGGGCACAAGGAGAAGGGGACGACAGAGGAAGAGATGGTTGGACAGTGTTCTCGAAGCTACAAACATGAGTCTGACCAAACTGCGGGAGTCACTGGAAGACAGGCGTGCCTGGCGTGCTCTGGTCCATGGGGTCACAAAGAGGCGGACACGACTAAACAACAACCCTTCGCGAGCTGTTCCCCTCCACAAAAAAATTCACCGCAACCCCCTGGAAGCTGGGAATACTCAACAAACCCATCTCTGTGAAGGGACTGGAGAGCTAGCGCCCCCTGCTGGAAGGGAGAGGCTCTCGGTGTTATACTCCAGCTTTTGCCAACCTGGTGCTCCCCAGAGGTTGTGCAGTTGAACTAGGGAACTCACAGCCATAGAAAATCTGAGAAATCCACAGAGGGGTATTGAGGGCTACTACATAGAACATTATGGCTATGTTCTGCCTCCACAGCTGAGAGGCAGCGAAGCTTCTGTATCCCTGTTGTTGGAAACCACAGGAGGGGAGAGTTGCTCTTGTGGTCAAATCCTGCTTGTGGGTTACCTGCAAGAATCTGGTTGACCCCTGTGAGGACAGGATGCTGGGCAAGATGGACCGCTGGCCTGATCCTGCATGCTCTCTTATGCTCTTCCTCTCTGGTTTGGGACTATGACGCCAATCATACAACCACGAAGGGCACCCAGTTGGCCAAGGCTGGGGGAATAGTCTGTTCCTGCTGCAGATGGTCCTTTAGGGAAGAAAACCCGATTCTCCGTGGCTGACTTTTCTCTCCTGAACTCTCCCCCAAAAGCAAAAGCATCACTGGTTAGGGTCAGTTTTGACATGCCTGCTTCCCAACGGGCTGGGAGCGAGATAGCGGGAGATGTCAGTGTTGTGTCACCGGCTAAGCAGCTGCTGGATAAGCGACGGAGAAAAAAGGAAAGAGAGGGAGAGAATATGAATCCCTCGATATGACACAGTCTTTCAAGGATACAGGAACTGAGACTGTGGAGAAGCTCTGAGGCAGAAGATGCCCCAGCCAGAGGCTTGGGTTGCAGTTGCTATCAGTAGCGGTGAGCTCGCCCAAGGCGACCAGAGAGCAAACGCAGAGATGGCTGAAGCCCTGGTGAGCCTCCTTCTGACAGAAAAACCCCAGTTCCTGATGTACACCAGGACTCTTCCTATCTCGGCCGGAAGAGATACGGGGACACTCGCGGCCAGCGATCCCTTGCTCTTTCAGGTTCGAAACTGATGTGCTCCAGGGCTTCGCAAGCAGGCTCTCTGTTTGGTGCCAAGTTTCCAAGGAACGGAAACAGAGACCCACATGTGGCCACATCTGGGGGAAAGGGGTAGCGAGTGCTCCCCCTTAAACACCTCCTGCACTGTCCACACAGGAGGAACCACAGAATTTTAGAGTTGGAATTTTAGAGCCTGGGGATCATTTTGTCCAACCTGCTGAATGAATGCAGGAATATGAAGCAGGGATCGAACCTGCAAGCTTGGTGTTATTAGCTGTAACAAACTGAGTTATTTAGACTAGGAAGTTATTATCAGGCTTGGGAGCCATCAAATGTGCTCAGGGGTGGAGCGGGGTTTAAAGCTTTCTGAGAAATAGAAAACAAGGGAGGGGGAACTCCAGATTAGCCCAGTGAGTTCTGAGAAAATTTAGTGGGCATGGACTGGTATTTCTTGAGAGGTGGGGCAGGAAAACTGGGGGGTGCGGGGGAAGGCAGGCAAGAGTCGTAACAAACGGAGTTTCCTGGAGCAGGGCATGGCTGGCTGGAACCCAGAACTGGGAAACTCCACACGGCCATGTTTTGCTGCAGATCGGCTTGTCGTGACACCTCCTCTGCGAACCCGCCTAATCCCCATTTCCAAAGGCACCCAAGCTAGCAGCCGATTCCAGGAAGCTGAATATTTGATTTATGGATCAGGTCAGATACGCTGGTTCAACTCCCAAAACATAAGCGACACACAAACACACACTTTTTCCTGCGTTGGAAAAAGGAAAATTAATCTGGCCTAGATCTCGATCTAGACCTATCAACCGGTGACAGTTTCCACAGGTGACTCATCGCAATCTCGCTGCTAATGTTGCAATCATGGATTTGATTTACACCAGCACGACAGCTCCAAATTCCATCGCGATGGAAACGGTACCTACATCAGAAAGAGCTGCTCCGTGCAGTACTGTGGATAGCTCAACGCAGGGATAGTCAACGCGGTGCTCTCTACAGGGGCTATGACACCTCCCCAGGGGGCTGGGGCCGTTCAGAGTTGAGAGACGGCCGCAGCATCAGAAGGGCTACGCGTTGGCTCCTCTGACTCACCGTGACAGAAAATGGTCCGGGCCAAGTTCAAGGGTGTTACTTCAAATAGTATGGGAAACAGCCCTACTAGAAAAATTAACTAATAAACTGAAACTGACACGGGGACAAACAGAAGAAGATGCTTCACCCCCGGTATGGCTCCCCTTTATCACACACACAGCCCAACAGGACAATGACAATAATCCACCAACAGCATACAAATCAATATGGCTAACCTGATCCAAAACACCCACCCACCTCACTCACACACGGAAACAAAAGATCACCACAGCCAATCACAAGCAAACAATCACACCCTAGGCCAACCCCAACCTCTCTCACCACCAAAGGAACACAAGTGAACAACACAAGCACGCTGACACCAAACTCTACATACATTAAACATAATAGAAACACCGCCACCCAATCCCACCCTTATCCATCTTCCCCTCTCCACCCCCTTTCTTTTTTCTCTCCTTTTTATTTTTTATTTTTATTTTCTTCTCCCCCTAATGCCTCAACAAATGAAACGGATTTGTAAAAATGTTACATGGGGAAAAATATATATGAGGCACTACACTTCTGTAAAACAAGAAAATCCTTAATAAAATATTTTTTTTAAAAAAAAGGGTGTTACTATCATCGCATAAAGCCCTTAATAACTTTGGACCAGCTTACTTCCAAGATTGCCTTACCCCATACGCCCAATTGGCTACTTCAGTCAGAAGAACTGGCGCTGTTACGAGTACCACATAACACCCATTTCTAAGAACTTTTAGTGCAGCACCACCTACACTTTGGAACTCCCCGCCAATTGATAACAGGCAGGTGGGTACACTGTGCTCTTTTCGGTGCCTGTTGGAAACACGTTTGCTTAGGCAAGCCGACCCAGGTGTTTATAGAAAGCTGGTGCATGCTTTCATCTGGTTTCAGTGTATTTTCATTCTAAATTTTGGAAGGTTTTTTTTTTTAAAAAAACCTACGGTATTTGATTTTTCAAGTTACAGTTTTACAAACACGTATCCAACATACAGTCATACCTTGGGTTGAAGTAGCTTCGGGTTGAGCGTTTTCGGGTTGCGCTCCGCGGTGACCCGGAAGTAACGGAACGGGTTACTTCCGGATTTCGCTGCTCACGCATACGCTCATATCACACGCATGCGCGGAAGCGGCGAATTGTGACCCACGCACGCGCAGGCGCGAGTTGTGTTCTGTTCTGGATGCAAACGGGGCTCCAGAACGGATCCTGTTCGCATTCAGAGGTACCACTGTACAACATAAAGACAAGATTCCACAGAATCTCCTGGACTTCCTTCCTCCCCTTTGTGAGTCCTATCGTTATTCATTTCCTTCTGCACCTTTTATGATGATCCAAATCTTTTACCTCTCCATTATATCCAAAATTCACCATTAAATTACAAGTGTTATTCCCATCCTATTAACAATCGTAACTGTTTACAATGGTTTTTTTAAGATAAAAGACAAATTTCCCCCATTCATTATTAAAATTTTGGTTTTCCCGGTGTCTGATTCTTCCGGTCATTTTTTCCATTTTGGCATAATAATCCATCCACGTAATCTGCCATTCTTCTCTGGTTGGGACTTAAATCTTCTTTTCCTTCTTGGGAGGTTTTTTAAAAATTACTGTTAATTTTTCTTATCTGTCATTTCGCAATCATTTTTTACACAAACCCCTCTGAATCAAGCGGTGTTACGAATTTTAGAAAAATAATAATAAATAAAATGCATTTTCAATGGCAAGGTGTTTTCCAGCTGGGTTGTTGTTTTTTTTAACCATAATTTTTGCATTCCGATTTACCAGCTTTGGGACTGATTTCCACCTGCCAGTCTTGGGCTGGCAACCTTCCCCTTTGCCACAGAACAGGACCCCTCATTCCCTGCAGGCCACGTCTGACAGCTGAGCAGGGCTACTATCCTGTCAATCTCCTGACATCTGAATGACACTCCCCGACCTGGCTTTGCCTGCACAGTCCATGGCAGGCATAGGCAAACTCAGCCCTCCAGATGTTTTGGGACTACAACTCCCATCATCCCTAGCTAACAGTGCCAGTGGTCAGGGATGGATGGGAGTTGTAGTCCCGAAACATCTGGAGGGCCGAGTGTGCCTATGCCTGGTCAATGCACAGAAGAGGGGGGGTGTGTGTTTCTGTGTGCAACTGATTTAACATGCCAATGCCACTTAACAGTGCAATGATATGCATACTTACTCTGTTCTCGAACAGGTTGTTCAGAATAAAGTTGGCAGTTCGCCAAGACTCCCCCCCCCCCAAAAAAAAGCGCTGTGGGAGCCCGGCATCAAACAACAGCGCTGCGGACATACTCTAGGTCCTATCATGTGCAATGAAATGTACGTCCCAATGTGTGTTTTATTAGTGTCGTTATTTTATTGCAGCCTTTCTCAACCTGTGGGTCCCCCGATGTTGTTGAACTACAACTCCCATCAGCCCTAGCTAGCAAGACCAGAGCCCAGGGATGATGGGAGTTGTAGTCAAACAACATCTGGGGACCCACAGGTTGAGAACCACTGTTTTATTGATTGATCAATTGGATTTACAACCCCTCACTTTCCTCCAAGGAGCTCAGGGCGGAAATAGGATTGCAAGCCAAGTTTGTCCAGATGACCTGGTCACCCTAATGTGGATTTTGTACACAGGGAAAGACAACTTGCAACTAGACCAAGTGCAGGTGAAAGGGGGGGGGGAAATCAAAACGAGTCCCATACCTGTGTTTTCTTGGCTTGCCGCTTCCCAAAAATGCAAGACAGGTCATCTTCGCTTCGGGAGGAGAGATCTTTTCCTGGGGTGAAACAAAAGAGACACTATCACGACACTAGATCTCACGGGCATCCGACACAGCTGAGTGTCGGCTGAGGATTCAGAACAAGGAAAGGACTGTGGAACTCTCTCCCACAAGATACAGTGATGGCTACCAACTTGGATGGCTTTAAAAGATGACTGCGCAAATTCATGGAGCAGAGGGCTAGTGAAGGCTACTAGCTGAAGGAGCAGCTGCTCCAGCACTTGCTTTCCTCTTCCCTCCTCATTGTCTTTTCCTCTCGTGTTGTGTCTTATTTGACTGAGAGCCAGCAGATGGCGATTGCCATATCTTTAATATACGTATGGCGCTTAGAGAATTTTAGGCAAATTGCCAGTGTTAAATAACAGCAATGAATTTTAAGTGTGGCGAGCACTGTTGATCTTAGTCATGGGTAGGCAAACTAAGGCCCGGGGGCCGGAAACGGCCAAATGGCCTTCTAAATCCGGCCCGCGGACGGTCTGGGAATCAGCGTGTTTTTACATGAGTAGAATGTGTGCTTTTATTTTAAATGCATTTCTGGGTTATTTGTGGGGCATAGGAATTCGTTCATTCCCCCCCTCCAAAATATAGCCTGCCCCCCCACAAGGTCTGAGGGACAGTGGACCGGCCCCTGCTGAAAAAGTTTTCTGACCCCTGATCTAAGCACTGGAAACAACGATGTTCCATTTCAACACCTTTAAATCATGAGTAGGCAACATGGTTACCACGAGAGATGAGACTACAACTCCCATCATTCCTGACCATCAGCCGTACTGGCAAGGGTTGATGGAGTTGTAGTCCAGTAACATCTGGAAGGCATCACATTGGCTGCCTCTGCTATATACGGTAATATAATGAATAATATCAATTCAAATGGGTAGTTTCAATGTTGTAATTAACTCCCCATCCACTGATAACTTGATTTACCTAAGGAATCTCTCAATTTATCTAATGCACACCTCCTTAGCAGAGCTGAATTAGAACGTTAACTGCCTTCAAATCTTTTATCTTCACATTTAAGCAATTTAAAGGAAATATGTGCTGCTGAGTTGTCTTATAAACACTGAGTTTACTGATAAAAGTAATATCCAAGTTAAGTTCTGAGTAAGGTTTATAGCACATTTAAGTCGCAAAAGCAAAAACCTTTGTAGCCTACGGGACATACTATGACTTATGCTTACTAAACAGAGGTCAAAACATGCTCTAATGAATCCCAACTGATTTTTAAAGCCTGGGGAAATTTCCCAGAAAACAAACAAGCCCCCAATTCGATATTTCCCAGGAAACCCGCATCCCTGATTGCAAGCAGTTGCTGTATCCAGGAGATGACTGGTGATCTGGTTTTGTTCTCCTTTTGCTTTCCCCCTTACCTTTGGCAAATTTCACATAATGAACTCGTTTCCGGGCACTCTTAGACTTCTCCTCCAGGCTAAAGGTTCTTTTCTCCTCCTTGGACGCAGCCTCTGGAAACATAAGCAGAATTTGCTGTATGAGGCAAAGACGTGCCCTGCCTTCTGCCTTCTGCAGAATCTCATTCGGTTTCTGATCTGAGAGACCCTCCTCACATTTCCTGCTTAAAACACTTTCCTTCACTGGAGGTTTTTAAACAGAAGTTGAACGGCTGTCAGTCAGGGATTCCTTAGCAGCGATCCCTGCATTGCGGTGGGATAGACTAGATGAGCCTTGAGAACTCTCCACAATTCTATGATTCCCATATTAACTTAAGCAGCAAAGGGCTTAATAATAATAATAATAATAATAATAATAATAATAATAATAATAATTTATTATTTATACCCCGCCCATCTGGCTGGGTTTCCCCAGCCACTCTGGGCGGCTTCCAGCAAAACACTAAAATACAGTAACCTATTAGACATTAAAAGCTTCCCTAAACATGGCTGCCTTCAGATGTCTTCTAAAAGTCTGGTAGTTGTTTATCTCTTTGACATCTGGTGGGAGGGTGTTCCACAGGACGGGCGCCACTACCGAGAAGGCCCTCTGCCTGGTTCCCTGTAGCTTTGCTTCTCACAATGAGGGAACCGCCAGAAAGCCCTCGGCGCTGGACCTCAGCGTCCGGGCAGAACGATGGAGGTGGAGAAGCTCCTTCAGGTATACTGGGCCGAGGCTTTCAAGGTCAGCACCAACACTTTGAATTGTGCTTGGAAACCTACTGGGAGCCAATGTAGGTCTTTCAAGACCGGTGTTATATGGTCTTGGCGGCTGTCCTGTCAGCAGTCTAGCTGCCGCATTCTGGATTAATTGCAGTTTCCGGGTCACCTTCAAAGGTAGCCCCACATGGAACGCATTGCAGTAGTCCAAGCGGGAGATAACTAAAGCATGCACCACTCTGGCGAGACAGTCCGCGGGCAGGTAGGGTCTCATCCTGCGTACCAGGTGGAGCTGGTAGGGCTTTAAAGGCTTAACTTCTGCCCCTGGTGAATTCTAGCAGGGATGAAATGGATGTTCTTCCTTTGATTCACACCAATTCACAATCTAGCCTGTGGAATTCTATCATTAGTACACCAAGTTGTGCAATATTCCCACCCACCCCCCTTTTGCTCATCCCAAGCCTGCTGCCTGTCAGTCAATGTCTCAGCTATGTGTTGTGTGGTTCAAGGGCTGGTTTAACCTTGTCTATGGGGAAGGGCCAGAGCTCTGTGTCAGAGCATCTGCCTTGCATCCAGGTCCAGAGTTCAAATCCTGGCATCTCCCGGTAGGGCTGGGGCAGACTCATTGCCTAAACCCTGAACAGCAGCTGACTGTCAGTGTGTAGATAAACTGAGCAAGATGGACCAATGGCCTGATTCAGTATAAGGCAGCTTCCAATGTTCCTAAAACTCAAGCCTAGGAAGTGAGGCACAACTCAAGTCACTTCCAAGACAACAAAAAATGGATTCTACGTGCCCTAAATGTGGCCAAGAGACTGATACTGACGAACTGGAAGACTATACATGTATGATACCATTTAATCGATGGATTGATAATAGGACAATGCTTGCAACTTATGGACTGCTTAGAGATGTAGACTTTGTTTGGATAAATATGACAACGTTTGGAAGGAGTTTGTATAGAATGTAGTAGAATCTTAACATCTACATATACCGTATTTTTTGCTCTATAAGGCTCACTTTTTCCCTCCTAAAAAGGGGAAATGTGTGTGTGTCTTATGGAGCGAATGCAGGCTGCGCAGCTATCCCAGAAGCCAGAACAGCAAGAGGGATTGCTGCTTTCACTGCGCAGCGACCCCTCTTGCTGTTCTGGCTTCAAAGATTCAGAATATTTTTTTCCTCCTCCAAAAACTAGGTGCGTCTTGTGGTCTGGTGCATCTTATAGAGCGAAAAATACGGTATATTTGGACACTAACGTATCAGTTTATATAAGAATGTATGGGAGTATATTCACTGAATTTCTGTAATTGTTTTTATTTTATTATACACTTCTTTGTTCTCCCAACCACCACTACCCATCTTTTTTCTCTGTATTACTTTATTTCTTTAGAACAGATTTTTAAAAATGAAATGTTAATATTTTTTAAAAAGTTGCTCCCACACACCTTCAGCAATACACACCTCTCATTCTGTTTGGCCAGACTGTGTCTACACTAGTGGCCAAAATTGTGGAAATCTGTTGGAAAAAGTGTATTTTTGAGGTTTGATGGCTCATAACACCACTTTTTTGGGGAGTAATACCATAAAATTATATATGAATGGAAAGATAATTTAAGGAAGAATGTGGTGCAACAAAGTTTGTTCAATTATCTATATTCTATCAAATGTTATAGCCAAATAACCAGAAAAAGGAAGCAAAACTTGCTTAGGTTGATATGCAGTAATTTTCCTTCATTTGAGTGTGGCCAATGAGCATGAGTGTTTAGAGAGCCAATCAGGTGTTATTAGCCATCAAACCTTGAAAATACACTTTTCCCAAAAGGTTTCCACAATTTTGGCCACTGGTATAGTTTGTGGTTTCAATTTTAATCACACGAGTGGCAGCAGTGCCCTCGTGTGGCCAAGGATTGCATAGCACAAGTTTATTTGGTAGCTGATTCAATGGGAACAAGTCACAGAGCCCTTTCATTGCTCACTCCCGTACCTGGGGCGTCTTGTCCGTGGCAGTTGTTCAGCTCTGCCAGAAGCTGGTTGAAGTCATCCTGATGGGCGATCCAGTTGTCCTGCAAAATATCACACAAGAGGGTCACTGGTCTTTCGGGGTTCAGTTTTCTTTGCAAACCAGGAAAACGGATGTGGGCACCACACGGACTCACAACCACACACATCACAACCTAATCCACTGGCTACAATATGTCTCTCTTAAGCCTTTGGGGGGAGAGGGGACCCTACGAGCACCAGAGAAGGCCTCTGGTACCAGACTGCTTGCAGGTACCAGACTGGAAGACATGACTAACAAAGTAATTAGAGCCCTGTTTGATCAGGCTAATGGTGATCTAGTCTAGCACCCCATTCTCACAATGGCAAAGCAGGTGACCCAAAGGTAAACCCACAAGCAAACTGATTTTCTTAAATTCTGCTTTCACGCTGCACTGAATTTTCATGAGGTTTGATTTTCGCTGTGGAAGTTGCCGCGATCGAGTAGCGGCTGTGCTGGTGGGGGGGAAGGAAGGAATGATTGCAAATTGCCACCCCAAACCTTTCTTTCCACTCCTGCATTCATTTCGTGTGTTTGTTCGCAGCCAGTGACCCTCCCCCAACCCCCACATCTGCCGCTGTTCGGGTTCCACGCTTCAGAAAACACAACCCAAACCTGAAAAGGGCATTTTAAACGGCTCCATCCCTGTTAATCGGGGAACGTACTGTGACCGTGATGACGTCATTGTGCCACACAGGCAATCAGTTTTTGTTCTGTGACATCACTGAGAGCAAACCAAGAGAAGAGGGAGAGGGGACGTTGTGTTGCAATGCTTTTTTCGTGGTTTCACCCACATATCCATACACAAGAGAAGAGCCTGCTGGATGAGGCCAATGACCCATGCAGTCCAGCATCCTGTTCTCACAGTTGCCAACCAGATCCCTGTGGGAAACCTGCAATCAGGATTTGAGCACAAGAGAAACTCGCCCCTCCTGTGGTTTCCAGCAACTGGTCTTCAGGAGTGTTGCTGCCTCTACTGTGGAGGCAGAGCATAGCCATCATCATTTAAAAACCAAATTGGCAGATGACTGCAAACCATGGTTGATCAACTGAGATATCACACCAAGCAATCGTTCCTTAATTGTAACCTTGGGCTTGGTATGATGCTGGAAAAGAGCTGTTTGTCTAGTTGCTAAAACGACAAGTGATCTAAGTCAATTCCAAACGACAGACTGCACTTGCACAAAAATCCATATTGTTCCGTGCAAACCCAAAACAAGAACTAGTCAAAGTCACTTTCCGTGAACTTTAAATACAAATCAAGCCTGTCTGCATATCTGCTCATTTTACAGGGTTGATTCCCCTTCTGCAAACCCTGAGGACCTGGAGCTCTGCAGAGAACGGAAAACTCACAATATGAATTCCAAGATAGGCAGATAAATGTGAATTTGAATGCTCGTGCCTGATTTGAGCAGATGCAGACCTCGTTTTCCATTCACTCCACCCACCTCTTGGTTGGCTGCTGCTCCTAAGCCCAGAGTGTTGTTTTTCAGTTGGACCTTGACGTGTTCGGTGTTCCCTTGCTCCTGAGCTCCAAGCCCCTGGCAGAAAGAGAAGCAGAGTAATGAAATTAGCTGAGGGAGGCTGAAACACCTTGCAAATTATTTTATTTGTCTTAAAAAGGTTTCCAACTTGCATTTCAATGGGGTGCCTTCCAAGGTGGCATACAACAGGTTGTAACAGTGATAAAAACACCACATCTCAAAAACAGGGAGAAATGTAAAGTATTGCACTTAGGCAAAAAAAAAAGAGAGGCAAAAATACAAGATGGGGGACACCTGGCTTGAGAGCAGTACATGTGAAAAGGATCTAGGAGTCTTGGTTGACCACAAACTTGACATGAGCCAACAATGTGACGCAGCAGCTAAAAAAGCCAATGCAATTCTGGGCCTCATCAATAGGAGTATAGCATCTAGATCAAGGGAAGTAATAGTGCCACTGTATTCTGCTCTGGTCAGACCTCACCTGGAGTACTGTGTCCAGTTCTGGGCACCACAGTTCAAGAAGGACACTGACAAACTGGAACGTGTCCAGAGGAGGGCAACCAAAATGGTCAAAGGCCTGGAAACGATGCCTTATGAGGAACGGCTAAGGGAGCTGGGCATGTTTAGCCTGGAGAAGAGGAGGTTAAGGGGTGATATGATAGCCATGTTCAAATATATAAAAGGATGTCACATAGAGGAGGGAGAAAGGTTGTTTTCTGCTGCTCCAGAGAAGCGGACACGGAGCAATGGATCCAAACTGCAAGAAAGAAGATTCCACCTAAACATTAGGAAGAACTTCCTGACAGTAAGAGCTGTTCGACAGTGGAATTTGCTGCCAAGGAGTGTGGTGGAGTCTCCGTCTTTGGAGGTCTTTAAGCAGAGGCTTGACAACCATATGTCAGGAGTGCTCTGATGGTGTTTCCTGCTTGGCAGGGGGTTGGACTCGATGGCCCTTGTGGTCTCTTCCAACTCTATGATACCATTTAATCAATGGACAACTCTTGCAACTTAGGAATGGACTGCTTAGAGACGTAGACTTTGTTTGGATAAATATGACAACGTTTGGAAGGAGTTTGTATAGAATGTTAGTAGAATATTAACATCTACATATACCGTATATTTGGATACTAACGTATCAGTTTATATAAGAATGTATGTGAGTATATTCACTGAATTTCTGTAATTGTTTTTATTTTATTATACACTTCTTTAGTCTCCCAACCAACACTTCCCATCTTTTTTCTCTGCATTACTTTATTTCTTTAGAACAGATTTTTTTTAATGCAATGTTAATATTTTTAAAAAGTTGCTCCCACATACCTTCAGCAATACACACCTCTCATTCAGTTTGGCCAGACTATGTGTACACTAGTGGCCAAAATTGTGGAAGCCTTTTGGGAAAAGTGTATTTCTGAGGTTTGATGGCTCATAACTCCACTTTTTTTGGGAGTAATACAGTAAAATTATATACTGACCTTCCTTCCATGGGAGCTGGGAGCAGTGAACAGTGTAAAAATGCAATATAAAAAAATGCATTTCTAAAGTCATAAACGCAAAGCAATGCCAGCTGCTGAAATTTCATTAAACCTGTGTGTGCATGTGTGTGTGTCAGAGAAGGAAAGAACAGTTCACCAGTTTGTGTTACTCACTTAGCACGTTTAAAACACAATTTCTATCTGAGGAGATGGAAGGCTAGGGAAGGGAAGGTTGCAAGTGGCTTGGCTGGGGACTGATCAGGCGGTTAGTCACGTCTCAGTGACTGGCTCTACAATCCCAGGGTAACCCCTTCTCCTTACGACAGAAGCATTGTCCATTTCAGCACACATCTTCTGGCTTGTACAAGGCAGATACACACCTCTGAACCATTCATATATTTTTTGTGCTACGCAGACTTACTTTGCCTTTTGACCACCCCATTTTTTCCAACATCTTTTGGCCAAATTTTGATTCATCTTTACTCCAAGCGCTGTTCCGGGGATCCACAGACCACTTCTGCTTCCTGCGTGCTGAGAAGAGAGAGAAAGCTAATTTAAGCCCCAAAGTTGGAAAAGAAATTTCCCCTCTGGCTTGCTCTTCCCTCTCCCCTCCTGGCTCGGACTGGCTTCTTTAAGGACACTGACAAACCATTCTCCTTCCATGAAGCCCTTCCACTAACTGCTTCTAGGCTTTTAAATTCACACAGGGGCCAGGGCACTGCAGAGCAAACAAATATGGAGAGTAAGAATAAGCAGCAGTGCCTCTTATACGAGGTGGCAATGACCGCCAGTTGACGTGTCCAGAACTGAACCCGCAACAAGCATGGGCTGCTCCTATTCAGCTTGTCAGCAAGTCAGGAAAAATTGTTAAATTTTAGGGATCTTCTTAAACCAGACTCGTAAACCTCAGAGCAGTGTACACAAAAAAGCATGTTATAAAATACAGGTCTCAATGAGCCACTTTCCTCTTGTTTCCTGATTTCCTTCTAACATATGGAATTTGCTGCCAAGGAGTGTGGTGGAGTCTCCTTCTTTGGAGGTCTTTAAGCAGAGGCTTGACAACCATATGTCAGGAGTGCTCTGATGGTGTTTCCTGCTTGGCAGGGGGTTGGACTCGATGGCCCTTGTGGTCTCTTCCAACTCTATGATTCTATGATATACCTTGGAAGCTGGGTTGCCATCTCTGTTCTGGCAAAATACAGGATAGGGCGGGGGGGGGGGGAGTAGTTGGTGAACGATTCCCCCCCCAAAAAAATCTGGTGCTGAAGTGACTCCAAAGCAATCCATCACTTTAAATGGGATTTTTTTAAATTTAAATTGATTCTTTTAAATTTAAATTGGACTTTTAAAATAAAATGCTTTTTGAGGAAAAAATCTTTCTAAAGATAGTTTTCTATTTAAGTTACATTGTAGTCCAAAGGCTATTCATCAGGAAATAAGGATTTGTTTTAAGTTTTTCCTGTGTGCTGAAACTCAGTCTAAGTTGGGGTTTGTTTTTGGGTTTTTTAAAGTTTAACCACATCAGTTAACAAACATGGATACATATGCTATAATGTTATTGTTTTAGTTAAATAAATTGTTTTGATTGCTATTAAGGAAATGATTATTTTTCTCCTTCCAATAACGTACAGCAGAAAAGTTGTCCAGATATAAACAGTTAACAATAATTTCATAATTAGCTGTCTATGTATTTCTAATAGAATAACCAAATCGGCAGGTAATATTTATGGGTTAGCAAAGTCTGTAACCTGAAGCGTATGTACCCTGAAGTGTATGTAACCTGAGGTACCACTGTATTAAGATTATACCAGCAGGAATGTATTTCTGTAAGAAGAAGAAAAATTAAATTTACTGACTAGTAATTTAAATAGATTTGATTTAAATCACATCCACCCTGCCTGAAATACAGGACAAAAATTTTCTCAGTACAGGACACACAGCATTCTACACTGAAATTGTAGAAAACATCTAAAGGCAGCCCTGTTTACGGAAGTTTTTAATGTTTAATAGGTTATTGTATTTTAGTGTTTTGTTGGAAGCCGCCCAGAGTGGCTGGGGAAACCCAGCCTGATGGGTGGGGTATAAATAAATTATTATTATTATTATTATTATTATTATTATTATTATTATTATTATCATTATCATTATCAGGCAGTCCTGAGTTATGCAGGGCAGGCGGCAACCCTGCTTGGAAGCGGCGACCCCGGAACATAGCTGTCAATTTTTCCCCTTTTTAAAGGGAAATTCCCTTATTCCGAATAGGATTCCTCGCAAGAAAAGGGAAAAGTTGACAGCTATGCCCCGGAGGCATCTGGCTGTCCTCGGTCGGGAGCAAGGTGACTGGGGCTGAGCGGGACCCTTTGGGTGGGCGGGGTGGGGCGGGGTGAAGCCGGGCCCAGCGGGGCTCTTCTGGCGTGACGGGACGTCGTCAACGACCGCGAGACGAAGAGCGGGCCCCGCCGCGCCTTCATTCCTCTCCCTGCCGTCCTTTCAGCCGGTTTCATACTCACGTTCTGCCAGCATCGCCATCTTGGGGGAAGGGGGGCCTCCCAGAGAGGCTGGCGCGCGGTGATGACGACAATCTCCCGCCGTTTGGGGCCTAGCTCCTGCCAGGCGCGCCTCGCGGCCCGTCTAAAATGGGCGCCTGATTGGAAGAAAGCGGAGGAAGGAAGAACTAGGGAGCCGCTAAGCTTTACGAGAGCCGCCCGGGGTGGCGGGAAGGAGGGATGGGACAGGGCGGCGGCGCTTACGCCCTCGTTGTTGCGCGGAGCGCGGAGCAGGCAGTAGCGTAGACGGCCGCAGCGTTAGGCTGCGGGGTTTCAAAGCGGCTGCTGCTTAACAGGCTGGAGTTCAACCGGGCTGATCTTTACCTGTTGGATTTTTCTCCTTCCTCCGGCTGCGCTGCTAAAATTCAGCGGGCTGTGCTTCGCTTCCATCGCTGCACCTCCATGCAAGAGCTTATCTCTTG